AATCATACCATCTCAAATTCACATTTCCAAACGGGCTTCCTCGTTCTCCACAAATAAAATTGCCTGCTCACTCTGTTTCCTCACTTCAGTAATTGGGGGGTAAGGGGGTAGGGAAGGGGGAGCAATGTCCAGAGAGATTGGAGACATCCTATCAGAATTCAAGGCAGCTTCTCTCAACTCTTGTTTATAGAAAATGAATGTCTGCCTGGCTTGCCTTTAGTTCAGCAAAGGGGTCAGTCTTTATCAGCACGGTTCACACAGATCCCGGATTTTTTCCCCCTTATCTTAAATTGACCCGCTTTTAAGATAAAAACATAATAGAGAAAACTTTTAGTTCAGCAAAGGGGTCAGTCTTTATCAGCACGGTTCACACAGATCCTGGATTTTTTCCCCCTTATCTTAAATTGACCCGCTTTTAAGATAAAAACATAATAGAGAAAACATTGACCTTACCTTGTCCCTAATGAATTGGAAGTCAGAAAACCCCGCTCTCATTTCCTCTTATCTTGGATCGCCTGAGAAGAGACTCGCGCTACCTTTTGTGCGCTCGCGCCTCGAGATAGCCCCTCAACGACGCCCATACGCGGGGGAGCGCGCTCGAAGGGTGCGCGGCCTCGAAAGTCTGAGAAGTCTTCCCTGGGGTCTCGGAATCGGAGATAACGACGCCAGACCGAGACGCTGTCACGACGCTCCCCAGCCCTGCCCCAGAAAGCTTTGAAATCCCTGGGAAGGCTCCCGAGCGGGTCTCCCTATGGAAGGCAAAGCCCTAAGGAGTGGGAAGGAGCTGCCTCCTGCGGGGCCTCCCCCGCCTCCAGGGCTGGGTGCCCATTGCGTGTCCCGCAGAGTCGGCCTGGGCCTGGCTCAGATTTCACTCGCGGGCCCCAAGCTACATCCCACCAGTCCAGCTCCTACCCCGAGCCTTGGCCCCTGCCCCCACCCGCCTCCTCGCCTCGAGGACCCCGGTTTGTGCCCCTGTTGGTGGCAGCCCAGCCCGGATCCCTCTCTCCCCCGCTCAGAGCATCTCTGTCCCGCTTTTCTCGCCTCCCCTGAGCCCGGCCCAGTCCCCGGCCCGCCGGCTGAGAGGGCTGCTCTCCTTCCTCGCCAGCCCACAGCTCCCGGGTTCCCAGGCTGGGGCGGGGGTGGGGAGCCGCTTTGGGATGCGAAACATCAAACAAGCCAAGCCTGGGGTTTCAGGCCCCGAAGCCACTAGAGCGGCTCTCCAGGGCTCTCGAGAAAGTCCTCGTGTTTACACGGCGGAGTGGGGGTGGGGAAGAGGAGGAAGTGGGGGAGATGCTGTCTGCAAAATCTCCCCCACTCCCTGCAATCCTCGGGGCCTAGGGATGGGTGGGGTACTTCGCTGGGGCAAAGCTTCGCAGAGATTCAGGGCGAACTGTTCTGCCCCCACACGTGGGGGAAGCTTCCGGCTCTTCCAGGCATCTCAGCGCAGGGGCATCCTCAGAATGCTGATTTGTCCGCGGGGCAGGCCAGAACGGACCTGTGCCCGAGTTGCTGGAGACCTAGGGGAGGGGACTCCGAGAGGGATCGACTGTCGGCTTCTCTGAGGCTGACGGGACTGTGGGGATGGAGGGCGGCCCCAGGCTGCGGAATCCTCTTGAGCTGTGCCCAGCGCACACCTATTTCGCTAACGAGACGCTTCGGATTGCGTCGCAAAGCCGCTTCCTGCAGCTGCGACAAGTCCCCCGGCCAGGAGCGGGAGCGGGTGGACTCCGCGTGATTGATGGCGAGAAGCGGCCAAAGCACTGTTTGTCTCTGTCCCATCCGCAGGCCCGGCTGAATTTACCTTTCCCCGGGACGAGTAAACAGACTTCAAACTAAGCCGACTCTAGGCGGCGGGAGAAGAGTGTATTTGATAGAAACTCTATCCAGTGCAACGGTGATAAGGCCAAGGGTTCCACAGTCCACTAAAATTGTGACTCCTAGGAGCCCGCTTCTGGCTAATAAGGGGGAGGAGGGTGTCAGCCGCGTGGCTCCAGCCGGACACCGCCCAACCTGCCGGTGCTAGGCAGGGGGCAGGCTGAGTGGAGCTCAATCCCGACCTTGCAGCCAAACAGCAGCTGCAGTACCCACCTCTCCTGCCCAGCCCCCTTGAGCTGGGTGGCTTAGCCACCTACATTCCCTGTCCCAGAACCAGGGCTGCCCATTCCAACACAAATGTCAAAACTTTCCTTTGTTTGTTTTCCAAAATGTGAGGCCTGCCGATATTCTCCTCAACCAGCACACTTACTAGACCTAAACCAACTATCGTTCTGGAATTTCCCAGTCCTTTCTGGATATTGGAAATCGTATCTCAGTAGCTAGGCCTGGGTTTCTGAAGGAGAAAGCCCACCCTAGCCCCCATTCCTTGGGCACTAAGTGAGAGGAGCCCCCAGTAAGCCAACAAAGGACTGCTGGGTGCAGATCAAGAACTCAGGCCAGTCTACTTCCCTTACACGCTCCTGGGGTTGGGATGGGGGTAGCGGTGGAGGTGGGGTGGAGATGGAGCGGGTGGCTGCCAGGGGTGAGAGAGATAGAGAATGAAATAAAAAGAAGAATGAAAGAGGGGAGAGAGAGGCCAGAAAGGAAAAAAAAAGTTGAAAATCTAGGCGAGAAGTGATTACATGCCAAGTACGAATTAGCTCCCCATAATCAAACACTTCCAGACCTAGAGGAAAGTGCTGGGAGGGAAATTTGTCAGAGTCCACCCTGTTCTCTTTCCTCTGTAGGTTTATCAGGGGTGACAGGGAAAGGGCAACAGGCCATTCAGGTACTACGATTTTTCTCTCTGTCCACAACCCCTCCTTCGACCCCCTACCCACCCCCCACCCTAACCCCAATAGTTTCCCCCAACAAATAGGTCTGAGTGGTGAAGAGACCAGGAAATTAGAGGTCGGAAAAAAGAGGCAAAAATGACTTTTTTTTTTTTTTTTTTTTTGGGGTTTGTAATCAAACACTTCCAGACCTAGAGGAAAGTGCTGGGAGGGAAATTTGTCAGAGTCCACCCTGTTCTCTTTCCTCTGTAGGTTTATCAGGGGTGACAGGGAAAGGGCAACAGGCCATTCAGGTACTACGATTTTTCTCTCTGTCCACAACCCCTCCTTCGACCCCCTACCCACCCCCCACCCTAACCCCAATAGTTTCCCCCAACAAATAGGTCTGAGTGGTGAAGAGACCAGGAAATTAGAGGTCGGAAAAAAGAGGCAAAAATGACTTTTTTTTTTTTTTTGCCGTGGATTGGGGGGGGGAGAGTTGAATGCAGGAGAAAGATTTTTGCTATGAAGATTTGGGAGTCCAGAGATGGAAACTGGTGGAACAAAGAGTGAAAACCCCAGCTTCCAAAATCCTGCCAGGGGCGTCCTCAGGCCCTTCCCCCAAGATGGACATCGCCCGAGGCCACAGAAGCCTGGAGAAGCGGGGGTGGGGGTGGGGGTCCGCTGCTAGTCTCTGAGCTGGGATCGCTGCTCTACAGCAGAAATAAAACCCGGGAACGACTTCACTTTCGAAAACAACCTTCCACCAAATCCTAACCCTGAAGGGGCTTGGCCGTGAATTAGAAGTAAAGGTTTGATGTTCAGATCTACAGGGGCGATCCACTCGCTAATAGTGCTAGCTCATTCGGGTTTTTCTTTTTTTTTTAAGCAGTGGCTCAGATGTATAAGACCACAGTAGATAGTTCTGAGGTTTCTGAAAACAGAAGGTGGTCTCTTTCTCTTTCTCTCTCTCCCTCCTGGTAGAAGTAGCTCCGCTTTTCTTTTCTCTATTGCCGAGTCCCAGGACTGCTCAGATTTGGTTCCACTTAATTCCAAGGCAGAACAAAACTCACTTTCCTCGCTGGACGAGGACCAAAAATTCAGATCCCATCAAGTCAAAGATGAGCACCCACCCCACCCGGCCCCAACCAGAAAAAAAAAAAAAATCCATTTAAGGCCAAATCAAAACCAAACAAAAGGAGGGGTTTTAATCAGAAAAAGAATCTTTTTAAATTTGTATAATTTATTAGAAGCTTCTTAGGAACTATATTTAAGCCAAATATCTACATAAGTTACAACAGAAAAAGACTGACGCCGCAAATACCAAACTGCCAAATAATATACACAGATTTGTCAATGCCCATAAAAAAAAAAAAATATATGAGGGGCTGGGGACTGGGAGTGGGTTTCTTTATACAAGAAAATGTACAGATTACTAAAAACTAGGCATTTAGTCCAACTTTTGACAGCGTTTTACATCTACAAGTTCACAACAAACATAAAACAATTTTCGCGGGGGACGGTCCTGGCTGAACCTAGGCGGCCAAGAGGGCACCGGGGCACCGGGGCACTTCCTTTGTGTCAGTGGCAAGTGGGTTATGTCGAAGAGTCTTTCCTTTCCCCAGTTCCCATCCTCCCTTCTAAAAAAAAAATCCTGGTATTTACAAGCGAGTCCACTTTGCTGTCAGAGTGTATCCAGCGTTAAGTCTGCGATCTTTAGAGTCCAGAGCCATGGCAGCACAGAGCCCTCTCCAAACTGTGCCCCGCCCCAGCGTGGGAAACCCATTTGAATCACCGAAAATACACCCTTAAAGCTGTTCTTTCTAGGTCCTTCTCTACTTAAAGATTCCTTATGGAATTGGATTCGCTTGGTTTTTGTTTTCTTTGTTTTGTTTTGTTTTGTTAAAAAACCCACAAATTTTAAAAAGAAAAGAAAGACGTCCAGCAGTTTGGCCTTTGTGTTTTTTCCTTGGTCTAAACGCGGACAGGTTTTAAGAAAAGTCGAAGCGCGTGGAGCAGCCGGTGGATGGTGGTCTGTGTGGCGGGCAGGAGAAGCGGTGAGGCAGCGCGCTGGGCTAGGGCTGGCCCGGCCTCCTCTCACCAGGTCCGACCATATAGCAAGGTGGAGCAGGACATGGTGCCGTAGTCCGAGCCCGATGAGTTCAGGTGGGAAAGGCTGGAGACCTGGCCCTGCAGTGCCGCGGGGCTGGCGGCATGGTGCGCCAGGTCCGGAGACTGGCCTGCGCTGCCCGGCTGGTGGCCCGGGTGTGCGCCCAGACCAGCGCCACCGCTGCCCACCGAGATAGCCGCCGCTGCCGCCTGCGCGGCCTGCGCCTGCTGTTGTGCCTGCTGCTGCGCGTGGCCCTGTAGGCTGGCGGCGCCCGGCGCAGGGGCTCCCGCCTGGCACGGTTTGCCGTCTTTCACCAGCACTGGCACGGCCACACGGCGGGGCGACTGCTGCTGAGCCTGCTGCTGCTGGGGACACCCGGCGCCTCCACCACCTCCGCCACCACCGCCGCTGTCCTGCTGCAGTTGCTGCTGTGCCGCCTTGTCCTTGGCCTGGCGCTTCATTTTGTAGCGGTGGTTCTGGAACCAGATCTTGACCTGCGTGGGTGTCAGGTGGATCATGCTGGCCAGGTGCTCGCGCTCTGGTGCTGACAGGTACTTCTGCTGCTTGAAGCGTCGTTCCAGTTCGTACACCTGCGCCTGGGAGAAGAGCACCCGGCGTTTCCGGCGCGGCGCGCTTGGCAGCGGGGCCATATTCTTGCTCACGTCCCCCAGCGAGCCCAGGCCGCCCATGCCGCTCATGTTCATGCCGCTCGCCGGGCCCATGAAGCGGGAGACTGTAAGCGACAAACGCACAGCGTCGGCCGGGGCCGGGCTGGGCCAGGCCACCCTTGTCTTCTGCGCCCTTGGTCCGCCTGGCCCGCCCGGCCCGCCCCGACGGCGCCCTTCTCACCCAAGCCTCCTAGCGCTTGGCCCTGACAGTCCCAGTCGTGGGGGATCGCCAGCGCCTGTCCCAGGCCTTGCCGTCGAGGAGTATACTGGAGTGCTCCTCTCCTCAGCCCCGGCTACCCTCCCGCAGTCTCAGTACCCTCTTTCGACCCAAAAGGTACAGTGGGCGAAGGCCGCTCCTGCTCCTTTCGTGCCCAACTCTGGTCAGAGGCACAGTGTTAGCTGGCCACAGGCGGCGAACAGGGCTCAGGCCGGGAGCTGGGGTCCGACGGTAGACCCCAACTTTGGGAGGTTAGGACAGGGGCGCTTCTGAAAGCTCGAGACCCCAGACTCTTTGCCTCTTGGCTTCTCTGCCCTGCTGGCCCCGATGAGGGCAACTGCTCGGCCCACTTAGAGCCCCCTCCAGAGCCGCGCGCCCTCCCACCTGCCCAGACTCCGCAGGAAAGCGGGCCGGGCCAGGCGTGAGCGCGTCCCGTCCCAGCAGGGTGGCCTCCCTTCCTATCCAGGCCTCGCCTCTCTGCGCTCCGTTCGCCCGTGCTCCCTCAGCTTGGGGGGTCGCCTCCCTCAGCTCTCCAAGGTCCTCCGTGCGGAGCAGAGCTGCCGGTCGGCCGCGCCAGGGAGATGCCGAGTACACCTGTGCACAGCACCTTAGCCCTACCGCGTACCTCCTCTTGCACCCCCAGCCCTGCAGGAGAAAGAATCCCTAGCTCTCGCACCCAACTCCCTAGCGCCACTGCCCGGCCGCCCTCCCTGATGCCCAGCGCACAGCCGGCCGGCGCCGCGCCTCCTGTGCTCAGCCCG